GGTCCACTGTCAGCTTAGCCACCCTGGCTTGGTGAGATTTACTAGCAGAATGTTTGACATAATCCTTGAAGGGTGTCCGTCCACAGAGAGTACATTCGTACAGCGGATCGGATTGCCTGTCAGATAGTGAGCGAAAAACTGAGAGCACAAACTCAGCGTTTGAGCTTGCCTCACTGAAAAAGAAACAGGATAATACAACTCACATTCAGCCACGATTGGTCGCTCTCCTGGTGCGGACATGACAAAGCAAAAGCGTGATTTTTAGAATATGACAGAAGTCTTCAATTGTTTCAATACGGACTTTGAAGAAGTCTAGGTTGTATCATCGCAAATCCGATCAAGCATGCAAGTTGAACAAAACTGTCTGGATTTTTCCTTGTCAAACTTTCCTGTCGTTCAGACAGTTCCTTTGTTTTACAGTCGAACTCGTCGCAAAATTCCTTCAAACATCCTTCTCAACATTTTTTTTACTTATAAGGCAATCAGCATGTCTCTTCTTTGCTTTGAACTTTTCAAAAAAAGTCAAGTTCCTCGTCACTGCTTTTATCGCGGTTTTAATGAGCCTACTCTCAGGCTCATACAACTTTCACTTCTGCCATCAATCAATGTTGGAAGATTGAATGGCCATCAAGTCTGGCCACTGAACTCGATGACCATCTTTTGGCGATCTGCTCAAACGTTTGAGAGGATTGCCAAAAGACCAGCCTTTGATCAGCTTTTGCTTGCAAAAGGCTGATTGATCTCTTGCCCGATTGACCAGCCGCGCGACCAGTCAAATTCTGGCCAAAAGTTCAGCTTTTGGCCAGTTTATTACGAATTTGCCCAACCATCCAAAATCTGGCCAAAAGCTGAACTTTTGGCCAGAATTTGGCCAGATTGAGGCACGACCTCATTGGTCCTTGGATTTTGACAGAAAAGTACCCCCTGGTGTAGCCAAAAAGAAAAGAAAATAATATCTTTTGTAGTCCTTTATTTCATTTTTTGGAATAACCTACAACATGTTTTTACTTTGTTAGTTTCTTTATTTTGGATTTCCCCTTATGTTATTTCAGCAAATTTCAATACAAGTAGTATCCACGAGAAAGTCTTTAGCACAATATTGAGCTCTATATTGCAAAATTGACCTCAATTTCGCAATATTGCTCTCTGCGCAATATTGCGTCAATATTGCAAAAATATTGCGCCTCATCCGCACCACAACATCAAGAGAAAAAATTTCATGTACTGTTGCGGTACATTTTGCAGTGTAATATTGCACCAAAAGCGCAACACAATGGGATTTGGTTGTATGTTGTTGTGTTGCACAGCGGTTTTGGTATTGACTTGGCCACTCTTTATTGATGCCTGTCAGGATCCATATCAACATTTGTAACTGTGAAATTAATCTGATGACATGTGGTTTTTCATAAACCCCTTTAGATTAGATTCCCACAAAACATATCTGTTTTCCATACATACATATAGATCTTAAGATCCAATATGTGACTGGCTTATATGCATATCAGATCTCCTCATCTCAGTCCTCCTTCAAGGACATTTACCCAAGGATCAAACTTCTTTTGATGAAGTTGTATGAAGTATGAATCACATGAAGCAGGAGTTACAAATTCTAGATTGAACACTTTTATAGTACATCAAGACATTCAAAAATCTTGGAAAATTGAAAAACTCTTGAAAAAGCCTTTACTTTTGTGAAATTTGACTCAGTTAACTTACTAAACATTTAGAATAGAAATTCTAAGCAGCACGTGGTTTGGGCGTATTCCTAGGCTGAGTGCCCTAGGGTTCTGAATTACTTGACTAATAATAAAAAAAATGTCCCTACGGGGAGGTAGCGGAAAAACAGCGCTACAAGATAAAAAGATATAAAAAATGAACAATAACTAACACCACTACAGAGACAAACATATCAAACATACTTCACAAAGATCAAATAACACAAAAGAGAATATGGTCTTTAACAAAACAAGTTCTTCAACAGAACACAACATAATAAAGGAAAAACACATAAAAAAGAATCTCCAACCGAATACATAACATGACTGGGAACTAAAGGGTGGGTGGGTTGATAAAAACTAACTAAAGATCTAATACGATGATAGGATATCAGATCAAGAGAAACGGAAGTGAACGCAATGGGAATAATCGAATAAGTTGGTTTGATGGAGGAAAACAACCAATGACATCATAGCTGTAACCACTACAAAAGGAACAAGAAAGACCAACCCGTCAGTAACCTGACATGTATAGTTACAGACCAACTTATCACATTCTATCATCTTTTCAGACCTTCACAAATGTACAGTCTACAGAGATTGGGATGATTTACCTTTTTTTTTTTTAAAAAAAGTGCTTTTGGCTTTATTGCATACAACACTATCAACACATGTAATTTTAGGTAACTAGTACACCTTAGAAGAGCAGCCATCTAGTCAATAACAGGAAACTTGGTGACAATGAGAGAGAAATTTCATACTTTGCGTTCTCGAGATTAGAAAAAGGATTTTGTTGCTCTTGTTTTTTAAAAAAAAAACCATCTTTAGGCATTTAGCCCACCCGCAGGAAAGCAATGGTCCCCTATCAAACTTCCAGAGTGATATTTGGGTCATTAGTCTCAAGAAACTTCTTGTGTATCCTTGTAGGAATACTGTCCAAGTGGTTGTTTAGAGCTAGAAAAGCAGGACCCTTTGAGATGTGTCTCAAACGCCTTTTTCCCAAGGCGGAACTTGGAGGTTGCCAAACCCTTAATGGGATTGAACACAAAACCTTATGTACTACTTGTGTTTTAGAGTCCACTGCGACTTTTGAATATATGTCTCAATAACCTATGTGCCCAGGGCATTACCTGGAGGTTATCGAACCCTCAGTGGATTGAACATAATTCAGTACATAACGGGTGGTAGTTTTTTATAGTCCGGAGACTGTTGATCTTGATGTCTCGGAAGGCTATGAACCCAATCCGTAGAGAGGAGCCAACCAAACCCTGATGGGATTGAACATCGATCCAATGAGCTTTTTTTTTCTTCTTTGAGAGACACTAAGTTTGATTTCCTTCTCTTGTCACTTCGTAAGCCTGCCTCGTGATCGTCTTCTTCGGGACCTTGTCCTTAAGATATGAGTGAAAATGGATAAAACGTCTTGTTTTGAGAATGAAATCGCCTAGTAATGGGAAGAACTTTGGAGTGTCTAGGAGCTTCTTTGCATTTGACCAATTGACCTTGATTTTCTCTTCCCGTATGTTGTTTCGTAGTGTTTTTCTCGCCCTAGAAAACTGTTTACAATACAACAAAAAGTGTTCAGTGGTTTCTTTAACAAGGCATTTGGGACATAGAGGGGAATCTGATAGGTTTTGTTTAAATAAGTGGTCGCTTAAGGGACTGTATCTGGCCTTCAATTGGAAGATCACAGCTGTACTTCCTTTTTCCATGCTCATCAGCTCTTTGGAAATTTCCTTTGGGTGAGTTGAGTACGGATTTTTACTAGGTTCAAGAATGATGTTCTTGATGTTGACTTGTTCATCAGTTCTCTTTTTAAAGCTTCCTAAACTGTTGGAATAAATGATGTATGGTCAAGCTCTTCAAGTTACTCAATTAAATGATATCAAGTTCTTTCTTTCTCGAAGTGTTTCTTTTCTCGTCACGTCTGTTCACTACACTATGATGATTCTAAATCTTATTGATCTTCATGTAGTTAAGTGGCCGGAGGAAGGTGAAGTGGTTCATTGTAATCAAGGTTCTAGTTGATCAAGTGTGAGAGAGAAGGAGGAGGAGTCGATGGTGACGTGAGAAGAAGGAGGACTTAGTTTATTTGTGATTCTCATTGTTCAGTTGTTTTGTGTGAATGCGTGATGCCTGTTTTTCTCTTATATACCTGATCAATCTGTACCTTCAGAATCTTTTTCCTCCTGTTGAAGAAAAATATTCTAAGGTAAGGTCTTTTGTTAAATTCTCTTATTAGCCTTATACTAAATGTCTTCATTGAGTGTGATTACTCTTTCTTTGTTTTCAGTTTCTCTTTTATCATCTTTGTCAGGTCTGTCGAGCTTAGAGCTCCAGTTGTTTCCTCAGCAAGTGTCTCGTCAACACTCAAAGCTGAAACCTTTTGTTTCACCTTTCTAAAGGTGTGTTGTGAAGTGTTTAAATGCTGTCGAAGAAAAAGATTCTAAGTTTCTCTTTTATCATCTTCGTCAGGTCTGTCAAGCTTAGAGCTCCAGTTGTTTCCTCAGCAAGTGTCTCGTCAACACTCAAAGCTGAAACCTTTTGTTTCACCTTTCTAAAGGTCTGTCGAGCTTAGAGCTCCAGTTGTTTCCTCAGCAAGTGTCTTGTCAACACTCAAAGCTGAAACCTTTTGTTTCACCTTTCTAAAGGTGTTTGTAGTCAAAATCCTACATAAACTTGTTGGAATGTTGATTTGGTTGGTTGTGTCAGTTGCTGCCTTTTTGCTAGTTTGTCTGCTTTCTTGTTGAGCTCAATACCTGTGTGACCTGGTGTCCAATGAAATCTCACCTTTGCGTTAGTAGGTAGTTTTTGGAGGTTAGTGCGTATCTTAATTACTAGATGCTGTCCTGAGGATTGTCTTGGGGCATCATGAATCAATCTTAATACTCCCTGGTTATCACTGAAGATCGCGAGGTCAGTTAAAGGTGGGCGGTGGCTCCTGAAGAGGGTGTTTGCTAGCTCCGTCGCCTCTACAATTCCTAAGAGCTCAGCTTCATGATTCGAGAAGTTGGATTTATAATTTATTGAAATGATGATTTACCATACCCGGTCATCTTTTCAAAAAGAAACCCAAGAGTCCGAGTCCGAGCCCGATTCGATCATCAATACGTAACAGTTATATTGCCTTTTATGTAAAAGTAACTTATTCAAAGATTACGTCATCTTCTCAACTCAACTCAACTCAACTCTCGTCATCAAACTCGAACCTGAAAGTTAAACACAAAACCGCTCGGGCGCAAGAAAGAAAAAACCAAAACCCATCCAAGAAATCTACCAGAAAGAATGTCACCTACTATCAACAAAGTGATTTATAAACCAGACTCAATGTCGTAAGTCTAATGATCCAGATTTCTAAACTTCTTTAGGTTTTTGATTGTATGAGAAACGATTGATTGATTGATTGATAAACTATTGATGAATGGTTGGGTTTTAGTACAGATGAATTTATTGCAATTATTTCGGATGTACCTGCTTATAAGAAATGGTTAGGTACAGAAGGAGATAAATCGATTCCATTAGTGGAAATTGTAGACTGTAAGTCATGATCCAGACTGTCTTACTTCATAAACCGAATCTTGCAACTTGTTTAATTTATAAATCACCATGGTAATTTTTGTATTTTTTTTTGGGTGGTTTATAGCTTTTGATGTGTTTCATAGTGGTCAAGGTGCTCAAGGTTTATTAAATAGACCAAGTAAACAAGAACTAGAAACCGTTTTCGGTACATCCAATGTAAACCCCATCTCTCTTTCCATTTCATTCTACTCTCAAACCCATCTTCCAGTCATTAATGTCTGTTTCTCGAATCTTTTCTTTTGGGGGGGTTCGGGGGTTTAGGATACAGAAGTGATTACCATTGTTTTAGAAAAAGGTAGATTAGAATCATCTGATGGTCAACCTTTAAAGTTTGCATCTAAGAATGATAATCGTGGTGGAAGTAATAACATTAACCGTGGTGGTCATGCTGCTGGTCATGCTGGTCGTTAAAAACTATCACCACGACTGGTTTCTTACCTCATCCAAATGAATGAAAATTGAGGTTTAGTTGTATTTGAAAAATCCCAATGTTGTTGTGTGATCTTGTTGTTTTGATGTACAAGAGGATCTCAAGTTTTTGAAAAGGTTTTTGAAGAATTGAAACTCGTTTACCGTTTTGTTCAAAACCTTGATTTTAAACTTATAAGAAAGAATGAGAAGAGATGAAAATTCAATCAAATCAAATTGATGATTTGATTTGAAATTGATCTTGATTGTTGAAGACTTTTCCAAAGACTCAAAGACCAAATCTAATGAGCATTTCATTTGTCTTTCTGGAGAATTTCTTTTCAGTGATTAAATCTCATGATTTCAAAGTCTTAAAATGTTACAATCTTCATCTGGAAAAAAAGATGAAAACAACAAATCAAGAAATGATAAGAATACAATGGTAATACAAAACGAAACAAAACAAACATAAAAGAAAATCAATAAAATTCATACAAGCTAAGAAGAAAAAGAAAAAAGAAAATTTTACATCAAGAAATCATGATGATGATGATGATCTGATCAACTAGATGAAAGATAGAATTAAAAAATTAAAAAAGGTTTCGAAAAGGATTAATTTACAAGTTTTTAAAAAGAAAGCTTTACAAGTGTTTTGATTAAAATTCAAAATGAATGAATGATCAGTTTAGTCAAATCAAGATAAGCCAAGGAAGTTGGTTTAGTGAGATTCAAGAAGATTATACATTTGGAATGAGTGTGATTAATCGAGTTAAAATGAAATGGTTTGAAAGAGGGTGATACATTAAGATAAAGAGAAAGGTAAAGAAGGAAAAGTAAAGGCTACAAAGTGATAGGAATTAAGAAAGTTTTGAAATTCCAAAAACCAATTTCAAGAGTTTCAAAGGGATCTTGAAACCCAAATCTAAAAAAAACGAAGACGGTCTTGAAGAAAATTAAATCTTGAAATCATTTAGACGCCATTATGAGTAGTAGTAGTAGGATTCAAATTCGATTTATTAAAGATCACATAATCTTCTTTTGCAATCTTAACTCTACCAGATTTAGGACGAGAAAGTGAAGGATTGGATTCTTGAATCGACGAAGTTCTAACCGGTAATCTTTCCAAAATCACTTGTTTATATTCTTGATCTTTAGCTTCTTGTCCCATTTCATCCTCTTCTTCATCTTCTGTTTGATCTTCTACTTCGTTTTCTTGAACTAAATTGATTTGATTAGGTTTAGGGCCTATTCTAGGTAAGACTTTGAATTCGGTAGATGTTGAGGTGGTGGTGGTGGTATTGGATGATGAGGTACTACTACCGGCTGTTCGAATTACTTTAGGTGTGATAGGTGTTGAAGAATAATCTGAAGTAGGTTTGGATGATGGTAGTTTGTTGATTGAATGTTCATTGATCACTTGATGATGATGATAGTTTGATGGATTTAAATTGAAATGATCTGATTCAGTGATTTGTTGTAAAGTCGGATTCGAAGTGAAATCTAAATGATCATGTTGATTGTTTATCGGTTCAGGTGGTGTAGAATATGATCTAGGTCTATTTAATGATAATTTCAAATTAGATTGAATAGAATAATCAGAAGAAGATGAAGAATGATCAGAAGATGAAGAAGTGGGATGGGATGAGATCTTTTGATTTTGGTTTGATTTGGGTATTTGTAATTGATAAGTGGTTCTAGGTTTTAAATGTTTTGGGATCGATGAGACTATTGGATGATGATGATGATGATGTGGTGATTGATTGAGTCTAGGTAAGGGTGCTGATCTAGGTATCATCGATTCTTCTTCCTGTTCTTGCTGTTGCTGTTGCGTTTGTTGTTGTTGTTCATGATGATGATATGAATTTTTCTTTGATGATGATAGTTGATCTGTTCTTGAAGTTGAATTTCTAGTTCGAAGTGATGGTTTCAAAAGTGGATTATATATCTTAACCTGTATTATCTCAAAAGATATCCATCATCGATCAGAATCGAATTCAAGAATAAATCAATCAATCAGCGGAAAGTACTTACGATTTCTTTTAATCGTTTTTCATAATCATAATCAGGTGATTTTTGATTCGAATTTGAACTTCTTGGTGGTATATAATCCCAAATGAAATTATTTAAATCTTCACCATGTTTGATTGATAGATTAGTAGAAGCAGTAGAAGGTGTTGGATTGTTAGATTTGTTTTGATGGTTTTTGATTATCGAATTTAGTAAGTTGGTGGTGGTGGATTGTAATTTGGATTTTGAATTTGGTGTTGAATTTGAATTTGAAGTTGAAGTTGATTGAAAATGATTAGTTTTTAATAGATTTAATGATAAATCTATATTCTTATGCATTATTATCAATGAGAATGAGAATGATATTGAGAGTGATGAAGATGAAGATGATATTGTTGATAAGAAATGTAATAATCTACCATACAAGCTGAGGCTAGCTAAAGTCTTGATGATATAATCTTGGAGAATTCTTGAAAAACAAAAAACAAAGAGTAAATGGTGATAGTGATAGTGATGATGATGATGGTGGTGGAATGAAAAAAGATTACCTAATCTGTGTGATCGAATCAAATTGTATGTTGTAAAATTAATAAAAATTAAATCGAGATTAAATTAAGAAATCAGTTGATGATGATCATCAAGTTTAAATTCAAATCACTTTCAACTCTCCATCTTTAATTCTTCACCAAGACTACTCTCCTATTTATCACTTCAATCATCTCATCATCCATCTTTCATAATAGCATTTTATAACTATCAAACACGTTGTAAGACTTATCTAACAAGTTGCACTGCCCAACACTGCCTACCAAACATCACTTGAAAGTTGGATGTTCAATCTCATGATCTACAGCCTTCTACAGCCCAATTACACATAATTACTGCATCTGTATGAAAGTTTGTCCATTTTGTTTGAAACTCCCAAACTTGGCCCCGAATCATATATCTACTCGAAGCCGGGTCTGCTGAATGGGGACTGATCATATCACCCAGCTCCCACCTTTGATCTTGATTGTTCTCAATTCATCACTCCACCACTCTCTCTTTTCTTCCATATCTTACTTTCTTGACTCAACTACTGCCTTGGATTGACTGCAAGCATGGATTTGAAGATCAAGGCAAGTTCCTTTCTTCTTTGATCATTGCAATCTCTTTGATTATCAGATTACCATCTTTACTGACAGTGGAACAAATTTCTTCTTTCCTTTTGTAGATCATAGGACCACTACCTATGGCAACCAATCACACAAAACCTTTTGTATGTGATCTCCACTCCCTCCTTTACTTCAAGTTCAACCACAGTGGGAAGACTCTGAAATAGAAATCACACCAATCAAAAAAAGTGGTATTCCAAATGATATCCCATGCCATATAGATCTCCCTTCATTCAAAGTGTAAGTGGCTAAGGTTTGTAACTCAAAGATGAAATTACTCAGCAAGATAATCACCAAAGACCACTGTGCTTGAACTGATCAAATTGGCTTCTTATATCCCTTCCATCAATTCTGGCTCGCAGCGTAGGCAGAAGCGGAGAGCAGCGCGGAGCGCAGCGCCCGGCGCAGCCGCTCCGTCGACCCGGAAGCTTGGCCCCGGGGTGCTTCGTTTTCAGCTGACATTCCGGCCGGCCCGAATGTCGGTGCTGCGCTGTCCGCTGATAAACCCAGCTCCTGGTTTCCCCACGCTAACCTACAACCTGCCCTGTACCACCGTTCACCTTCTTCCAGTACCCTGTACCACCATTCACCATCCCAACTCCAGCTCAAGCCATCCAATAATCAAGCCACCGCTCGAACTTTTATTTTCTTTTTGATTGATGCCTTTCCATCTCACACCTCTATGAACAACCCCATCCGAATTTATCTCCAGGGATCCCGCCACATGGAGTTTCCATGTGGCAGGATCTCAATATCATATCACCTCGACCATCAGTGGCTCGTCCTATCCCTCCCCTCGTTACCGTGGACCAAACAAGTATCTTATGATATAAACGTACGTTTCTCTTTCAATCTGACAATCTCATCAACTCTCAGTGTTAATCATTGAGCTTATTCTGTCCCTTTTGCCATTACTTGTCATTCGAATTCTATACCAATCACCTTAGTATCTTCTATTAACTCTCCATCCAATCATGAACAAGCAAACCACTCTTACTTCTTTTGTGTCATCGGGCTACGAGACCGATGATGGAACAACCCCCCTACCTCGCCGGTCCTCTTGAGTAGTTACACCAGCTAGACCAGCACCTGGAATGATCGTGCCGTCTTCTGATTCTCGCCGTGGCCTTTTCGACTTAGGGCTGGGTAGGGACGTATGAGATGAACATGTTCATCGACGTCGTGAGCGCTCGGCCTCCCTACCAGGAGGTCTAGATCTTGGAGAACCGGCTCGTTCTTTGGTTTCCATGTTTCGAGTAAGTTTTTTTTATCTTTCAAACTCTTAATAAATCAATACTAATGAAGATTATATTATCTTCATCTTCTTGTCTTTCATCTATCATCTATTATCTTCTTGTCTTTCATCTATCATCATGAATCAGAGCACCGGCACCTCAAACCACCCCCGAAACCGAGAACGCTCAGTCTCTGTCTCGGGTGCAGATGATGAGATTGTCAAGTCTGTGACTACTCGTCCGCGCCGATCGAGGGCTCAGGCCAGCTCACAAGTAAGTGACTCATTTGTTTCAAATTCTTCATCCACAAATCTGATTCATCGTTTGACTTTCCATTACTCCTATCCTTTGTTATTCAGGGCACAGGTCACTCAAAGAAAACTCAAAACCAAGGACGCTCGGCCTCGGTCTCAGATCATGAGATAGGCAACTCAAGTATGGCCAGCCGTCCACGCCGACCAAGGGCTCAGACAACTCAAACGTTGGTTGTAAGAGTAAGTTTTATTCTTTCATACTTTCTGTATATTTACTGATTGATTTCATCGTCGAAACCCTCTAGGATCCAAGTCCACCGCCCCAAGTGGACTTGGCACAAGATTCAGATGAAGATAACGAGCGTATTCGAAAACGAAAACGCAATCAGCCCGCTGAGATCGAATTTGACAGTCCATACGATTATTATGGTCCGCCCGAACATGGTGTAAACCACCTTGGACAGCCAGACGTATGTACCTTTCTTCTCTTTTTCTATCTATAACCATGTTTTCCCTCCGATCCCATCAACTAACCCTGATATTCAAACGGTTTGTAGCCTTTGGATGGACCTCACCTGTCCTACACTTGTCTCATGTGTGCCAAGATTGTTCAAATCAGCGGCAGTTCACGATCCAATCTCAAGGTGCACCGTGATGGGAGCAATGCACCTGGTAAGTCTGGTGCTGGCTGTATTCGTCGTCAGGAGGCGATCGCAAAAGGTGCCAAGCTTCCTCCCACGGTTTCACAACTCCGTGCTCAGCGTCTTCAGGAAAATCACCAAGGGTCCCTTTCAGCTTTCGTCATCCCAGCGCCGGCCTTTACCAATCGAACTCTCAACCAATGCCTGGCCGTTTGGCAGGTGTCTCAAGCGCTCCCGTTCAAGCGAATCAAAGATCCCATGCTCAAATCCATCATCCATTGGTTACGACCTGATGCCCGTGTATTTGGGCGAAAGTGGGTGGCAGATGAGGCCAAAAGTTTGTACTTATCACTGCGTGGTTCAGTGATTGATCAGGAGATCAAGGTGAGTTTTCAGTTATATTTATTGACTCATGCTCAAATAAATATAACTTATCCTAAGTTATATTTATTTTTGCAGAACCTAACTAGCAAGTTTTGTCTCATACAAGATGTATGGACAGTCAAAGGTAACCTTCACGCCTTCATCGGCGCTTTGATCTCTTTTGTTACAAACGACTGGAAGTACGTAGTGCGACACTTGACCTTCAAGCTTGTCGCCTGGCATCATCAGGGGACTTTGCTTGCCGAGCCAATGGTAGCAATCTTGAAAAAGAACAATTTGTATCAGAAGATAAGTCTGCTATTAATTATTTCAAAGTTTTGTATTTTATATTTTTATTTGATTAGATTTTGAATACTGACATAAGTCTGAATTAAACATGCTTGCAAATGTTTCGGACTCAGGCAGCAATAACTTTACTCTCGAGCGGGAAATGCATCGACAGCTGGCCGAACAAGGTATCCAATCAGGCCACGACTTTGTCTGGAATCCAAAGAAGATGGCCATTAGATGTTTTTGTCATAAAATGGGCTTGATTGTTAAAGCCGGGCTTGATGCGCTTGGGATGAAGCCCCATCGTGTCCGACATTCCACTTTAGGTAGGTTTCCACAACTTGAGGTAATGGCTGTTATTCATGAAGACAACGAGCAACTACAAGACGAAGAGGGATGCGAACAACTTGTGCTTGAGGAAGGTGTGGTGGATAGTGAAGACGGCGAAGAATGGGAATCCAAAAGCAGTCACAGCAGTGATCAATCTGACGACCAATCAAACGCCGATCCTGACGATGAGGATGCCGAGCAAGAGGACGAGCCAGAGTATTATGGACGACGCAAGGAAGCATACCTTCTAGGTGATACTTACATGAAGAAGCTGACCAAAGACGTAAGTGCCTCTCTTATATTTCCTACTTTTCATATAAGTTCTAATTTTTCCTTCTGGTTCAGATGGATTCGGTCAACAAAAAACTCACTTGGTCATCTGCTCACCGAGCCGATTTCAACCGGCGCCAAGTTCGAGCAAACACTCAGCGTACATCAGAAGGATTACGCCCACTCAAGGCGCTGTTGTCAGGTCATGGCATACGATGGGGTATTCGCGCCGAACGCTGGGAGAGAATGTGGGCAGCGCGAGAGGTATGACTTTGTCTCTATTGTATTTCTTTCTAAACTCTAACTGATTTCAATCAATGCTTCAGCTGGTAGATAAAGTAATGAGAGAAGATTTGACCGAGGTTCTCTCAAAGAAGCGTCGTCCAAGGAAGGATGGTAAAGGTCACGGTTATTTTGAAGAAGTTACCTTCTCCGTGAAGGATTGGCAAGCTATGAGAGATATTTTGGACATCCTCACAGTAAGTTTTTCATTTTTATTTTTGTTTTTGTAATCTTTTCTCACCATAGATTCCATCTCTCACAGCCAATCAAAATGCTGACTCGAGAGATGGAGGGGGATAAACCCACTGGCTGCATGGTACTGGTTAAGTATGTCCAGCTCAACTCCTCTATGGAGGAGCGATTAAGGAAGATGCACAGTAATGATCCATTGTATCCAATGGTGGACGTGATGATAAGTAAGATCAACACGTACTTGGATGAATCACTGGCTTGTGATACTATAGTTCTGGCAACTGTCTTTCACCCCGGGCTACGACTTAAATTCTTCTCTCATGCATTTCCACATTCATCTCGCCACCGCGATCGAGCTCAAGATTTATTACAAACCGTTTTCACATCACAACGCGACTCACCAGATGTTCGAGAGCAACTTTCTCACTTACCTACTTCAAGTCCAATCAATACTACTGTCAGCAATGATGATGAACCGTCTATAACGGAGTTTCTGAACTTTTACAACGAAGTTGCTGCTTCGACCAAACTCAATGAACTTGAGCGATACCTTCAAGGTATCGACCCAATGGTGTCTCCGGATATGAACAATCCACAATGCGCTTTGGACTGGTGGAAAGTAAGTGATTCATTTTTTTCCCCCAAGTCAATCTTCTTTGCTAATCATCAATATTCAGATTCACGCGGGCAAATACCCAGTTTTGGCAGTACTGGCTCAGGATTACCTCGCCACTCCAGCGGCCTCCGGTGCGCCCGAACAATCTTTCTCGGTCGCTGGACGAGTCTGCACGGCTGATCGGGGTTCAATGGCCCCTCGAATGATAGAGATGACCGTCAGCGGTCAGATCTGGGCCAATGAGGGCATACCTCTCACTGGGGACTTTGGTGAAGTCAGTAAAGTACTCGAGTTTGGGAAGAAGGCACTTAAAAAGAAACCCAGAAACAATAAATTTTAGTTCTTATTTCATTTATTCTCTTTACTTTGTTTACTTTTTTCTCTTTTTCTTTACACTCGTTTAGCGTTTAGAAATCTCCTACAATAAATTTGAGATGTTGTTTCTTTTTTTTATGTTTTCATTTCTTTACGCTCATTGACTTACCTTTACATGCCACTTTCTCTACTGTCTTTACTATCACTCTACTTCTAAGAAAATTTATTATTTTTTTTAAAAAAAAACGTTTCTTTTTTGCTTGCAGCGCTGCGAAACGCTGCGCGAGCAGAGTTGAGTTTTCAGCTGTTTTTTTGTCCCAAACATTGTTCACAGCTGACCTTAGAGCTACCAGGCTCGAGGGTCCTGGGATTCAGCTGCGCTGCCCGATCTACGGCTAGCAGCGCTGCGCAGCGCTGCGAGCCAGAATTGCTTCCATCCACAATTATCTCAAAAATGACAAGTCTTTACTCGAAACATACAACAAAACCAAAACTTGCTGCAACGCAGTGCAACACAGCCCTCAAGACTTCTAAAAAGAAATATGGTGTGTTTCTATTTGTGACAAATCCCAAGGATCAGGTGGATATTGATCAAATGGTAAGCTTTCTTATGTTATCCTTCTCATTCTTGATATGATGTACTGATTCATTTCATTCTTTTTCAAAACCTTTTTTCTGTGTATTTAGAACAATGTGATTGAAAAGACTCTGTGCGAAATCACAGTGGCTATTGATGCAATCAGCTCAGAGGATTCTCCAGTGGCAGCAATGATTTTCTCCCCCTGATATCTTCTGATATCTCAAACTTATTGTTTGTTGGTTAGATTTCAGAACATGAGGGAAATTAGCAATGTAGAGTAAAAGTTATAGTCCTGAGATTTGAACCAGGTTGGTAGCATCATTGGTTAATCAAAACACCTGCACCTACCAGCTACCCAACAATCACAATCTCTATATTTTGATGACCCCTGGGAACTAAGAGAAGTGGGCAAGCACAGTGGGGTGTATGATTATCTTTAATTCCTCACTAGAGTTTGGAGCTAAGCTTTTCTATCTTTCAAGGTCAATCCAGGGCTTCATGGTGTCTCTTTGACCAGCCCACTGTCCAAAATACAAGACTGAGATGGGGTCTCTGGGATGTTTGAGCCCCAGCAGACTACTGTGCAAGTTGTTTGTGGTTCAGCTATGATGGCTGAATACTTCTTGCATCAGAGTAAATTAAGGGTACTCAAAGCAAGTATGTGGCGCTACATATGTGGCACCACATACTTTCAAATTTTGTTTTTGACAGGCAAAATGACCTACACTGACATTACAATTTTCCAAATATAATTCAATATGTCCTTTTCTTCAACTTGTTATGGTAATTTCCGTGTCAAAAATGAAATTTGAAAAGTATGTGACGCCAGATATGCGGCGCCACATAGTACTTTGAGTACCCTTATTGTAATTGATTGCCAACACTGACAGGAAGGGCGTGATCTATGTCTATCAACTTCCATGGTCCATTTATTGGAATAAACCAACTGCATCATACATCTCTATACAAGCATGTGTGATTGGTTGCCCGCTCCCTTATTGCGGGCATGCCCGTCTGTTCTCTAGTAATATGAAATGTAAAACTATTTCCAGATATCACTTTTTCAATCACTCAAACACACAGCCCAAGTGAAATTCCCTACAAGAAAGACTCTCGAGCAATGATCACAGATTTCATCCACACATCCTCATACAATTTCCCTTGCCTTATCTCACATGAACCTGATGGTGGGGAGCGGGTCCTGCTTCTTCTCAACTCAGATATTAGATTCCTCCTAAAGTATAACGAGGTTTAAGAATCCTGTGATGCTTTGACCTCAAGTTGGGACAACGGGTCTTTACTCTCATGCAAGGGGTGTGGCTATGGCAAAGGTCCTTTGGCCAACTCGACTTCAAGCTCCCTGAGAGTCGGTGACCGAGAGATTTAAAAGATTAAAAAATCTTTCAAATTGATGACAGGAAAGGAGAACTGGTAACCGAGAAGACCACGATTAAACTTGTGAGGGTGTAAAGTCACAGCAGGTGTTTTGGACTTTCAAAGTGAAAGGAAAGCCACATGTTGAATTTCAAAATGTTCAACAACGTGATTGAGCAATGTTGGTTAGCAATCAAAAAGGGGCCGAGACTCTTACTTCTTTCAAAGGATTTATTATTGTCGCTTCAAAGACCATTGTCAAGCTAGCGATAGCAACCGATTGTGATGCAGTCGATTGTCAAATCTCGGTCGTCCTCAGCATGAAATCATCGGCATTTTTGACTCCGACAAAATTGGTATAATCATGGACTGTATCCCTTCTATAACGTTTTTACTCGTCATCTATACATAATTCTACATATCATTGTGATTAATTTTGAATCTTTGAAGAAAACATTGAACTTTACTTCCTCGTAACCTAACAAAGTACCTCTCGGCGAGCCAGCCTGCGAGGAAATATTCATAAATCTTTAATTTCAAGTTTTCTTACGCACAAACAAATCAACAAAAGCTTACTCCAGTTTCCTTTTCATACTAAAACGCATCACCAATTCTCTACAAGTGATTTTTGAATATCTTGTGATTTTGTACAATTTTGACAATTGTGGATTTATCAAGATAAGAAAAAAGAACTTCAATCATGAACTCAAACTTCAACTTACGATTCTTAATCACTTTGTTAATTTCATTTGATTTGATTTTAACTTCTCCATTACCAGCAAAAAGCAGACAACAAATCATAAAAGATGCAAATATAGATCCAAAACAAATCACTTTAGGTGCTAAAGTCTTTGAATTGATTAGCAAAATCGAAGACAAAGATGTCATCACAATTCCAAAAGATGCTTTAGAAGTTATAGAAAAATTATCAAAAGATTCCAATCTGTCTGAAAATGATAAGAAAGCTTTAAAAAATTGTAGAGATGCTGCTGCCAAGAATAATTCTGCTGCTAGGGATAGAAATGATAAGAATACCCCTGTTGGTCAAATTTATTTTGTAACGTAAGTTTTTTTTCCCTATTTTCATTCATTTAATCCTTTTTGATATGTTGAAATTGAATTCAAACTTATTTGGTAAAAACAATGTTGTTGTTTTGTAATTTTTAGGAATAAATTAACTTTACGTGCTTGTGGTGCTGCATTGGGTGAAAAGAAAGATCAAACATTGATTGCAGGAATTGTTTCAAATCTTATGGTAAGTTTGTCTTTCTTTGATTCTTTCAATTCTTTTTTCAAGAAGCTCACCTTTTTCATCTTGATATTTCTTTGAAAATATAGATTAGAATTGGTGAAGTCGAAGAAAAAGGAAGTCTTCCTAAGATCCCTCCTGTCTCTTTATGATCTTTCAATTCAACTCAGCTCTCAGAGTCAAACCACAACCTGCATTTCTTGAAATCAAGTCTCCTCCCCTCCACTCGCCTACTCATCTTGCTTTATATCATGTGGTCTGTTTTGTTCTCAATTTGTCCAATCGTGCCAAAACCATGGACACACACCTCACGCACAAAGCATCTAAAACACATCCTTCTTCTTCATGTATATGTATAAAAACGATAATACATATACATACGGACTCTTAATGAACACCAATGCAATGTTATTGAAAAAAACCAAGTTTTGGCAAGCTTTAACATGCTTCATATCATGACTACCAATCCATACAGATTCCCAGACCAAATCAAAGCATCCTTACATATTTGTGCTGTTTGGACCATCGGGGATCATGGCCAGCTTATAAAAGGTGCATCTGAAAGATTATAGAGTTCATCTGCCAATGATTGAATTTTCAGCAACAGATGTCAAGATAGAAGTGATGAACTGCAATGTTTCTTTCATGACTGATTTCCTCTTTACTGTCTGTGGATATATGCGTGTTGTTGTTGTATGCTGTTCTTTTCTCACCAGCCCACAACGCCACCGCCGCTCCGCCCAAGAGTGCGGCAGCGGAGCGGTAGCGGAGCGGCCGCCCCGCTCACGCTTTCCTTTTAGCCTTATAGCGGGGGTTGCGCTTAGCTATAGCTATCTGACATAGTGCTAAATCGCTGTGCTATGATGCGCCATAGCGCCTCAGAGCGCCATACATGTCAAAGCGATATGAGTGCCCCAAGGGCGCCTACAAATACCTTATACAGACCTCACATTTGTATTATACCAATCGGACAACCCCCCGGAACACAACAACCACCTCACAATTCCACCCCAACAAATCAATCACATCACAAACACCATTAGCCCACCTCAGCCTCCCAGATCCAGTCTTGAGCACGGCCAGGCTTGAGCACGAGCTTGAAGCCATGCTGTTGTTTCCATCCCAAGTGGAGCCTTTGGCACTATATGATCGACTTCAAGGTGAGTTATCCTCAGTTTCCCTTACTCGATTTGTCTTATCGATTCTCTAGATTGGATTCTTATTAGAATTGTTTACTCATTCATCCTTTAACCTCTCCACTTTCATCTGATCTTCTTAGAACCTTACTCGATTTCTCTAATTGATTATCTAGATCGGATTCGTAGATCATTTGTTTACTCATTCATCCTTGAACCTTTCCACTTTCATCATTCAATCATGTGTCCACCTGCCGCCGATACTAGAAGTTACACCCAAAGCACTTTACAGCTCCAGTCTAATACTCTCTCTTTACCTTTACCTGCCACGACCTCAGCTCGATCCCTTCGAGTTCGTAGCCCGGTTTGCCCTCGTCCTGGCTATGTCGTGCAGTCACCGGACTCCCGACGTGCTCTTCAATTACCAAGTGACGAACCTGACGAATCAGGAAGCGACACGACTGACGGATTAGATCCTGCTCCCATGGAAATCACCCCTCTGCATCTGAAAAAAAGGGTTCCTAAAGGACCTAATCGAAACGCTAAAACCGGAAAAAGAAAAAGCACCATTTCTCGTAATTGTTCAAACTCGTCTCAATCTTCTTCAGCACCAGTGAAGAAGAAAAACAAGGTTACAGTACAAGAGGTATGTAGTTGTTCTTTGTTTGTTTGATTTCACAGGCCGTTCATCCTTTTTCTAACTTTTTGTATCTTTTCTGTCTTTGTTATTCATTCCTTCTCTTTCAAAGGACTACAAAGTACCCTCCGGACTCGATCTGAACCAAGACTCTGATATAGAAGTAGTCCACTCACCTGGTGTCAAGCGTGAGCAAGGTCGGGTTTGTAAACTTTTGCTTTACTACGATCCCCCTATTCATGTGAAGGGAGAGGTAAGTACCATTTTGTTTGATCATCAAACAAAAACTTTAAAGGTCTTAACTAATATCTTGTATTTTCCTATGACCTGCTTAGAACGGTGATGATCCTCGTAAGTATAGGTGTAAGTATTGTCGAGAATACTATGTACGCGGTAGGCGCAGCTACTACAATCTTTATTCACATCGAGACGGTGCACAAGATTGTCCTGTGTGCCGAATGTGACACCTTGCGAGGCAAGATGGTCTCGACTTACCTCGAACCTGGAAACAACAGCAAGACGAGATCGTCCGTGTTGCTTCAACCAATCCACAATCCACTCTGGATTCTTTTCTGTCTCAATCTACTTTTAGTGTTGACCTCTTCAATACCGTCTTAGTGATATGGCTCCTCCGCCACGCACTTGCTTTTGCTCGCTTCAATGACCCGGCCCTCAGAGCTGCTTTCAAGTTAACAAACCGTGCAGCCAATGTGCGAGGAACTACCTGGGCGTCCGAGACTGCCAAGGCAATCTATACGGAGCTATCTACCACCGTCATTGAACAACTTCGTGTAAGTCATTTAGTTTCAATTCTTTATTGTCTTTTCTAATCTTTTCATTATATTGATCATATCTCGTCCTTATCTTACAGTCGAACAGGGGTAAGTTTAATCTAATATATGATGTATGGACCACCAAGGGTCGAAGTAAGGCTTTCATCGGCGTCTCGGCGACCTACATCGATGACAATTGGAACTTTCGGTGCCGTCATCTCACTCTCAAGCTGGTCACCTGGCACCATGCTGGCCGACTCCTCGCTCAACCGGTTGGGCGATTCCTGATTGCCAACGGACTTCATAAAAAGATACGTATTATTTCATGAATTTTCATGATTTGTTTCTTTAAAACTAATTTGATATTTCTACTCTTACATGTTGGCTCAGACAACCGACTCTGGAAGTGCAAATGGCACCATGGCTGCCGAACTATCAGCTATGTTTGCTGAAGCTGACGACCCAGTGACTTGGGATTACGATGTCAATCAGGTTAAGTGCTACACTCACAAAATTGGGTTAGTTGTTAAAGCCGGCCTGAAAGCTTTGGGAATGAGCGCAGGACACATCAAACCTACGACACCACCTGGAGTTACCTTAACCATGCCTACTATGATGCTTAATGAGGGTGATGAAGATGTCCAGTTCGATTCTTCTGAAGACGAACAAGATGATCAGGAACTCGATGAAGATTTGACTGATTGCCATCTCGTCAACACTTCTGACCACGGTTCTGATGACGATGTCCCCGTTCCGAACTCTACAGTGGCTCGGGCTGTTCGAAAAGTAAGGGTTCTTTTATCCTACACTCTACATCGATATCAATCTAATTAATCTTTTCATTCCCAGGCCAAGAAGTTCAACTCTCTATGCACCAGGAGCTCTGCTAGGCGTCAAGAGTTCATGGCAAAGGCCGCGCAATTAGATTACAAAGGACCCTCTCCTATTTCCGGCTGGGGAGTGCGGTGGAACGTTGACGCTGACTACCTCAAACGGTTGAGCGATGCAAGAGACGTAAGTTTTAATAATTTCACAGCACTCTTTTTTTATCTTTTGCTGATCCAATTGCCTCACGGTCTGCAGGTTGTGGATGCGATCCTTCTCAGCAATCGGAAAACTCGCTACTATCAAGGAATCCATATAACAGATGATGAATGGGAATCGATCGAGTGCTTAGTCAAAATACTCCAGGTCAGTGTTTGTCTTATCAAAATTTTGTTTCTTCAACAATTTGTTCACTTTGTTCTATACCTCCACAGGTGTTTCTGTATGCTACCAAACGGATGGAAGGCAACACACCAACGGGCTGTGTCCTTCTAGCCGAGTACTCACGCATCATTCTCGAGGTCGATCGGCTCGAGGCGACCTGTCACGAAGAAGACCTCAAGCGCATGTTCAATGTGATTCGAACCAAACTGGAAGGTTATCAATCAGAGGCAGTTGCCTCTGATGCAGTTGTCTTATCTACCATTCTTAATCCGTGTTTTTGTCTCAAGTTTTTTGATCTCAATTACCCTGAAGAGGCTCCTAGAGCCAAAGATCTGTTCTTACATGCATTCGAAGAAGCTCTTCGAAATTGGCCGGAAGATTCAAGCTCAGAAAAGATTGCAACTCCACCTGCCCCCTCTTCTGTCTTGCCAGTCTCAAACTTTGATGATTTCGACGTCTTCACAACCCAAGTGACATCTCAGTCGCCAGCGGATAAACGCCAAGACGAACATGTGGATTATATAGAAGGTGCACATTTGTTGCTTGCTGGTCAAAGCGAGCTGGATTGGTGGAGTGTAAGTGCCATTATCTCTTATCTGTCTCCTTCAAGTGACTTATCTGATTCTTTTGCTTGCTACTTGCAGGAGCACGAGAAAGACTTCCCTGTCCTTGCCTCGATGGCTCGTGATTATCTAGGCTTATCGGGTACATCTGCGCCATGTGAACGAACGTTTTCATCTGCGGCGGATATTGCGGTTCCTGGCCGTGCATCTTTAACGGCCAAGATGATTCAAAAGCTTGTTGGCGTCCGCGAGTGGTTGAAGGCCAAGATTCCTCTGTCAGGAAAATTTGCTGAGGCTATAGCTTTTGTCCAAGCTTATGAAGCTTCCAGCACCAAGGCTAAAAAGAAAAAGTAGTTTTTTTTATTTCAATTTTTATTTCTATCTCCTGTTCCCTACAGTTCTCTCTTTATGAAACTTGTGTGCGTTCTCTTTTCTTCTCTCTAGACTTCTATTATTGCTTGTGATCATTGATCAATCATCTCTTGAAGAGATTTGTGCACGTTTTATTTCTTTCTACTCTTTTTTTGATTTTTATTGTTCTTGATCATTGATTGATTCTCTTAAAGAGACTTGGGCTTTTGTTTTTTTTTATTAGTCTTTCATTCAACATCCCCCCTCTGCCAACAATGATAATGTAATTGCACTGGCCAAAAAAAACCCTGATCGCGCTTTGGAGCGCTACCAGAGCCAAAACTTGTGCATAGCGAAGCGGAGCGGAGCAATTGGCCGCACCGCTTTAAAAACGTATAGCGACTCTGAAAATAAAGCGGAGCGATCTGCCACTATTCAATAGCGCCGGATCGCTCCGCTGTTAAAAAATTCATTTAGAGCGCAGCGGAGCGGAGCGCGGTGGCGTTGCAGCCCAACATCCAATGAGCACAGTAACTTTAAGCTCCCACCCCAAATTCCAAGTCCAATCTGATCCCCCAAACTTTATCCATTCCAAACATCTGTCTAACTGATATGTTCAAAATGATTTGATATATATATTCCCAATCAGAAAAATCTAAAGAGTCAAGTATAGAATCCAGAAATTCAATCATACGTATATATTGGTATCGAGTACAAAGAAATCATCTCCAGAATTCAATTCTTTCAGCACTCATGCACACGGTCATCAAGGTATAGTATGGATATGAAAAATGATATCACAAAGAAGCTAGAAGTGAATCAAAAAAATGATTGAAACGAAAAGAAGGATTAAAAAAGAAATGGGTATCATTCATTGTGCACGGATTTGACCAGGTCTTTTAGCAGGACGATAAGGACCACGTCTAACAGGATCTAATGAATGAGGATTATGAGCTTCACCATAAGCGGGCACACTACTAACTAAAGAAGAAAGTGGTGGTCTCATTGGAAAAGGTGATGCAGGTCCTACTAAGGTATGAGATAAGGTTGGAGGTGCTAGAAGTAGGAAAATGAAAAGACCGAAATACCATTAGTCTCTGGCTGTAAGTGCGAAAGTAAATTGAAGAAAAAGACTCACCAGCATAAAGATCAGCATGTGAATTACGACGTTCTTCAATGTTGATTTTTCGTGAGATTTTACGAGCTAGACCGGTAATAGATCGATTAAGTCCATTGTTGGGAGTGGGTTGAGTGGGATTGATGATTTCATGTTTTGGTGCTGATAAACTTTGGGTTCTTTGAAGCTCATATGAGCCATTTACTTGTGGTGAAGTACGAGAAGCAGAACTTTGGAATCGATTAAGAGCTGCACCGACTCTTTCTCTTAAACTTTTACCTCTTTTCAAATCATTGGTAGATTTGTGAGCTGCATTAAGTGAATCGATGTCTGCTGGTAATGAAGAAGCTAATGTGACACGACGAGGTGCTGGTGTAGAGGTAGTAGTGGCTAAGTAGGATGGTGGCGGTGGTACTTGTTGCTGCATTCTTGAAGATTGTTGATGTTGATGTTGTCGAGCTAGTTTGCGTTCGTGTCGTCTTTGTCGTCGCTCTTCCATCTAAATAAGGGGAAGATCAAGTTACCACCCCGAAATGAAAATAGGTCAGTGTCAATTAAAGCAATTCATGAAGCGGGGTACATGATACAAGCTGTGGCGTAAATCTTCGAAAAATAGAAAAGACGATGGACTTGACAATATCGCTTGGCAAATAATGTAATTTTATGGATGTAAGTATGAATGCAAAGAGAAAAGAAAAACTGACCTTTCTTTCATATTCCGTGTCTCTTTCAATCTGTCTATCGTCTCGACCTCTTATCCCACCGATAGAGCCTGACCAACCAAATTCTTCTTCTCGAACCGATACCCTTCTAACCCTTTCGCCTACTTCATCAAATGGCGAGGTAAACGTTCGATTTGTTTGAGCTGCTGACGTAGCTGATCGTCTTAAGCCAGATTGACATGGTAGTGGGGTAGGCAATGGAGCTCTAGGAGTGGCGGTATCATCTGAAAATAATGATTCAGTGTAACCTGCAAACATATTGAGATGACCTTGATGAAGTGTTTCGATTGATTAGTTATTAGTTCAGGTACAATGGGATCGTTCGAAAGAGATAATGAGAAGATGAGTTGAGAAAAGGAAGTGGTATCTGATGAGAGTGAGAATGAGAATGGGGCAAGTTATTGAAACCCTATTTATTTAAAATCATTCAAACTGTATTTTTTCTATTTTTTTTTCTTATTTTTTTTTAGAAATTCTTCTTCAAATAGGGTGTTCAAACCTGTGCAAGAAATGTGCAAGACCGACGTGCAAGATCCGTGCAAGATCCGTGCAAGATTTTTTGCACTAATCTTGCACAGTAATTTTTTTGACAACCCGAGTTATTGTGTTCCAAACCGTGCAAAAACCGTGCGAGACCGACTCTTGCAAGTTTTGTGCAAGATCCGTGCAAGTTCTATTCATATCTTGCACAGAACTTGCACAAAACTTGCATGAATTGATTTTGAGGTTTGAACACCCTAAAAGTTCAAAAACTGTAAGTTTCAATTCTAATCATCATGCTGTGCTGTGCAATCCTTCTGTTCTTGGCTGTTTTCTTGGTCATCCTGAACAATTATTCATGAATTGGTGTTCAATCCTTATTTGTAATCATACTGTAATGCTTAAACCAATTCGAACCCCACGATATGTGGGTGGCGTAAAAGGGATATCGTACATACAATTTTGCCTTTCCTTTCTTTTGTTTTGATCACATCTTCTCACCTTATGGATATTCAAGTATGTGACTTGGCATCCCATTCCTGATCAAAGCCTCGGCAATTCTCACCTGGCCAAGGACATTTTGAGCTAAAGTGTACATACTCGGTTCTGTAAGACTATCTTGGGAAGCTTCTAGAGTGTGTCATGCAATATCATCACATATCCATTCTTTCAACTCATGAATGTTCTTTCCAAGTGTATGAAGGTTTTTCAAAGTTCTTTTGGTTGAGCTAGAAACGATGAAGTGACTTATCGAGGATGTTAACAGATATGTAATCATATAGAATGGTATGAAACATTTCCTTTTTGTTATCAAACTAGATCCACTATCAAACCTTTTGTACGTTTTGCAAGAGATAGGATACATAAATTCCTTCCGGATCTCTCTCGGCCATTGTATCCTAATCATACATGATTTATCTAATTGAGCTTTGAAATCGTTGAAGTGGGGGATATGCATGCGAATAATACAGCTGAAAGCAGAAATCGTTTCAGGAGGCAAAGTTAGTCAACGGATGTGAGATTCGTCTCTTTGGATCTATCTATATGGTGCGGTGATGGTGCAGATTCTGCATCAATTCACTTACTCTACTCCTCCATTCATCTAAAGTATAATCAATATCCCTATAATGTGGATAACTTCTTGAGTCATCTTGACTATCAAAGAGTCTTTTAGTAAAAGTTCTAACAAAATTAATTCCATCCTTTGGCCAAATTTCTGTGGTAGGTTTGTATAATAAGATTTCAGCTACTCTTATCAGTAAGAAAACTTTGTTATGAGGAAATCCATAGGTGATTGAATCTTTTTTTGTCATCTTACTACTGTATTACTATCATTCATCTTTCAAGAGATGGACATTCTAAAGATTTAAAAACTTAGCCAGTATTGATAACCTTTTGATAGCTTTTCTTCAGTCTGGGTGATTGAATCTGATCAGAAATACTTGACGATACCATCATGCAGAGGCTTGAATATCAATAACAAATTGGTATAAGTGATGTTGGGCATTGGGATTGTAGTTGGGCCATCACAAGATCCTGCCAATTTGCAAAAATCTTTCTACCATGTCTTTTTCCAAACAAGCTCAGAGGATTTGAGATCTCACCCTGGCCCGTGTCTGGGAGCATCTAGACTTGATGAACAACTTTGTGGTACATGATGACAAAGAGCCTGGCTTTCCAATCAATAGCCAGCCCTTGTATCTTGACAATACAGAAGAGGCCAAGCTCCAAGATCCGCTTTTCAGTCAAGATGATGAACTGGTCAAGCTACTTGCATGGGTCAGCAAGACTTGAGACCTCATTCCAAGTTCAAAGCACCTCACACCTCTCTATCCAACTCAAATGATATGCTATGTGAATGCCGCAAAGGCTTTTGACAAGTGGTGTGTACCACTCCTGAATGACTCAAAGCATTGAGGAACTTGATGAAGAACCACCTCAGTTTTGTTTCAACCAGAAATGACTCCTAACCTCCAATCAAACATTGTGTATCTTTCAAATTTTCTTAGTGAGGGAAAATTACTAGCCATTGTGTCTATGTCACACATCATTGGGGCTAGGTTGGATACCCTGAGGTTTAGCTGAGATGATACCAGCCGGATCCAAATGGCCTTTGATTTGTTGAAGTCTTGAGTAATCATCAGAATGAAAATGGAAGCAAGAGTTTCCATTTCAGCTTTGTTGGCGGGAGGGGCAAAGCAGAGAAAGAAAATGTTTTCATTGGGTCCTCACAAAATATCTACTTACCCTTCTAGACCACTGTTCTTGGTTATAAGCACTATCTCTATAGTTTGGACAACTCCAAGGGTTTTTTGACCATTGAATAAAGGTTTAGTAAAAGATTGCACAAAGCTAATCACCATGTAAGTTTTCTGGTAGCACGTCAACGTGCACACACCAAAAACAATGCATAGAGGGATGATTGATGCTTTGAAGAGGTCTTTGCATCCAAAGACCCATTCCCTTTGTCCAGGTGCTCAGAAAGCAAGGTCAACAAAGGGGTACTGAGATTGTCACTGAAATTCAACAAAATTACAGAAACCTTTCTTCATTTGTTTTTTCAAAGCTCTTTGTGTGTGCACATTGACATGCTACCGGGAATTGTACATGGTGAATCCCATTGCTGGCAACGCTGCCACAATTACTTTACCAGTATTGGTATTGTAACGGTATTGTAGTTTTTTTAGTATGGTATTGTCAGTATCAGTATTGCAGCCACAATACATTACTGCCCGATCCTCCTGGCAGTATCGTGTATGGAGTTACTTTACTGAGTATTGTATTGTACCCCGAGTATGATACCGCAATGGGCCCAGGGAAGTATTGAGTATACAATCTCTGGTGTTTTTGTGTCTGGGAGTGCAATACTATGATACAGTATCAGTATCTGATTGGTATTGTGAAAAGATATGCTACTAGGTAATGGGCGGCAAAGTATCACCATTGCAATACTTTACTGAGTATCATATTGTGGGTACAGGTACATTACTGAGGCTTGGATTTCTGAGTATCGTAGACCCGTTACTATACTGAGTATTGTTGATACAATACCAGTATTGTATTTGTGGCAGCATTGTTGCTGGGCCTAGCTTCAGAGGTCATTGTATTTTTGGTTGCTCTGTCAGCTCTAAACAGTAAGAGAGCCTTGTTGTGTGAAAAATTGTAGGCCACTTCATCCTTCTTAGTCATCTTACTGCTATACGGTTTGTATCCACCCCATAAATCAACAAACTGTTGCATCCTCTGACTTCTGGAAGACCGCAACTGAATCAGTCACCCACAAATAACAATCAAGGAGATAGCACTACCCACAAAGTCTATCAATTTCTTTTCTCCGCATCTTTTCATCAAGTTCAAGATGTAAGCTTGGTTTGTTTTGTTTGGGTAGCGGGTGAATAGCAAATAAAGAATTGGTATGAACCACAGATTTATGCCTCATAGAAGGTGGACCAACAAGAGGTCCTGTGAGTGAAACTGTGATTAACAAACCTCAGACTCATCAAATTTGACTTATCTGTGAAGAGTAGGAAATATTCATAAATATTATTGGATTTCAGTCTGACACATCTAATATGAAAGATACCATGATGATGGAAAAGAAATTTGTGGTATGAGGAGTGGCACACATATGTCACATTGGAAAAATCTGGTGGTGTCAGTTGGATGGATAGGGGTTTCATGATGGCCTTGAATGTCTTCCTAGCTCCATAGTATATGCCTGGAAACAACAAGCAGGGGCAAAAATAGATGCTCACATTGGGGTGAGCATTGAAATTTTCTTGTTCTTTTCAATGTTTGTTCAATTTTGATTCCAAATTATTTCCCTTTTCTTCCTGTTTTCTTCCTGCTTGTCAGCTGTTTACATCATCAAAAGGAACTGAGCAGATGAACTAGGCCTTCCTCAGGCTTCATTCCTTAGCAAGCTGATTCTCAGTGGTATGCCTTGGAGCCTACTGATCCGGGATTTTGGACAAGGTTCTGAGCTGTTCTGAGTATGCAGTGACTCATGAGCTGATTCCAAGTGCGTATATGAGAGACTGAGCTCAAAGAATGCTCAGCCAAGATGGGTAGTGTCAATTCAGGACACACTCATTTGGTGCAATATACACCAAGTGTAATATGTACAATGAAACTTTGGGTTGAAGTGCAAGTATCATAACTGACTTCAGTGCATCATGCATGAGGCCAATAGAGGCCACCATTTTTGAGTAGAAGGACATTCAATGTCCACACCATCCTGGAGATCCAGAATCTCAATCTGCTTGAAGCTCTTCATGTCTACAACTACTGCTCCATCTGTGCCTCCCAACCAAAAATATGTATATGGGCGACCTCCACCAAGAGGTTCAAGGCAAGTTCCAGGAAAAACTCTTGCACAAGCCATTGCATCTTGAACACTGGGAACATTGTTGGGTTTTACAATGAATATTATTTAGGAATAGGTGCAATCCTTGGGTTATAAGGTCCTATTGACTCCCCCCACTCTGGAAAATTGGGTGGTAGGATGTAATCTCTGTTGTTTTCAAGCATGTAAATATATTGGGGGATTTGTCTGGCTGTTTTTGGTATGTGTGTTTTGACTGAAAATACACCACAAAGACACTTATTTGTGTCAGGGCATCAGGCATGTTCAAGATTGGGGACGCAACCCAACATTCATCAACCAGGAACTGGCTTGATGTCTGAGTGTGTATATATCCGCAGTGCATCCTGAAGATGCACTGGAGTTGTCTCCTCCCAGGTTGTGTGTCCACCTGGTAATCCAATGTCTGGTGCCCACATGATGCAGGCAGGACAGCCACCCGTAGTCTAAAAAATTGGTGTCCAACAAGCACCACAGCAAAGGACATGAAGCAAGGACAGTTCAATTTGAAGATTG